TCCCCAATGGTTCTCTACCCCACGCTCGCTATCCGGCGTGCAAGTCACCTCAATATAGCACTACGATGTGCAATCCGGGGTTTCAAACCCTCAGAATATCATTTACAATCATTACTCACCTCGAACCGGCGAAATCTCTAGCTCGCGACTCCTTTGCCCCTCAAATCGGCCTCCACGCGTGTCGAATCTATCCAAAATCAGAACGAATACATCACAATATGCTAAGGGAACAAAGCCCAATCGAAAATAATCAATAACGGGCACAAATCCCGAAATTACCAAAACTCGAGCCCCGGGCCCACTCCTCGAAACTCAGAAATTTTCACATCAATAGATTCCTTATCTTCCCACGAGTTCATACATATCAAAAGTTCTCAAATCCGACCTCAAATGGTCCTTCAAATACCAATTTAAAAGTCCAATTTCTCAAGCCCTAGTTCTTCAATTTTTGGCTTAGTTTCCATGAATTTCCAGGTGGATTTCACAATAAAATCGGGTTTTAAGACCAAGATTCTTACCTCAAGTCGTTTCCCCTTGAATCCCTCTTTAATTTCCTTCAAGAATCTCCAAAAATGAGCAGCTACGGGTGAAAATAGACCCACATTCGCGAACAAGACGACCTTAAAAACATTCTGCCCAGGCAAAATTTCCTTCTATGGGATCGCGGGAAAACCTTCGCGATCGCGAAGCACAAAAACTCAGCTCCCAAATTTAACCCTATGCGAACGCAACAAAAACCATGCGAACGCAATCCACTGCCATATTACTCTATGCGGTCGCGGACAATCCTCCGCGTTCGCGATGAACAAATTCCAACTAAGACCTCAGGTCCACTTTACTCTATGCGAACACGACCTTCCCTATGCGTTCGCAATCAACAAATTCCTTACTACTATGCCATCGCAACCCATCCTACGCGAACGCATTGGACAAAATGGATTGGCCCCAAAAGCTTCTACGCGATCGCAATAGCACATATGCGATCGCATTGAACAAAATATCTGCAACTGAAGCCTGCAATTTCTGCTATCTTTTAAGGCACAAAATGGTCCGGTTAACAATCCGAAACTCACCCGAGGCCCCCAGGATCTCAACCAAAGGCACCAACATATCCTAAAAACTTATTCAAACTTGCTCCAATCATCAAAACGCCTCAAACAATATCAAATTACCCAAAACACATCGGATTCAAGCCTAAGTTTCTAAAAATCTTCCGAAATATGCTTTCGATCAAAAACCTAACCAAACCACGCCCGAACGACCTGAAATTTTGCACACACATCCCAAATGGCATAACAAAACTACAGCAACTCTCGGAATTTCATTCCGACCCTCGGATAAAAATCTCACCTATCAACCGGAATTCGCCAAAATACTAACTTCATCAATTCAAGCCTAATTCTACACCGGACCTCTAAAACCAATTCCGATCACACTCCTAAGTCATAAATCACCTAACGAAGCTAATCAAATCATAAAAATTCCGATCCAAGCTCATATACAAATAAGTCAACTCTTGGTCAAACCTTGCAAATTCAAAGCTTTCAACTGAAACTGTTCTTTCAAATTCATTCCGATTTTCCTGAAACCAAAACCAACGATCTACATCAGTCATAATACATTACACGGGGCAAGTTGTGCCCGAGAACAGGAATCAAAGTGCAAAAGCTCAAAACGACCGGTCGGGTCGTTACAAATTCCCTCTTCAATTAGATCTCCCAAGCTTTCTCCCGAATGAAATATGGTGAAAACCCTCTCAAAATCGTAAAGGGTGCAATATATACTTTCTGCCCAGACATTTTCGCATCTGCGACCAAAATTCCGCTTCTGCGGTACCGCATCTGCGGTCAAGACCACCACATCTGCGGTCCTAACTTAAATTACCAAAACTGCATCTGCGACACATTTCCTGCACCTGCGCCTCCGCAGGTGCGGTCCCACAACAACATCTGCGACCTCTCTCCCGCATATGCGGCATCCCACCTGCGGTCCCCAAAACTGCAGGTGCGGAAATACCAGAAGCAGCAAAGTCCAGCAACTGCACAAGTCTCAAACCTTTCCGTCGACCATACGAAATCACCCCGAGGCCCCCGGGACCTCAACCAAAAGCACAAACATATCCCAATACCTTATTCAAACTTGCACCAATCCTCAAAACACCTTAATCAGCATCAAATTAACCCAAACACATCGGATTCAAGCCAAACTTTCCAAAATCTTCCGAATTCCGCTCTTGATCAAAAACCCAACCAAACAACGTCCGAATGACCTGAAATTTTGCACACACATCCCAAATGACACAACGGAACTACTGCAACTTCCGAAATTTTATTCCGACCTCTATATCAAAATCTCACCTATCAACCGGAAAAACGCCGAAATCTCAATTTCGCCAATTCAAGCTTAAACCTTCCACGGACTTCCAAAATGCATTCCGATCACGCTCCTAAAACCCAAATCACCTAACGGAGCTAACCAAATCATAAAAATTCTGATCTGAGATCATATACACACAAGTCAAATCTTGGTCAAACCTTTCGAATTTCAAGCTTCAACTGAGAACTGTTTCTTCCAAATTTATTCCGATTACCCTGAAAACCAAAACCAACGATTTACATAAGTCATAATACATCACACGGGGCAAGTCATGTCCGAGAACTGGCGAGCAAAGTGCAAAAGCTCAAAACGACCGGTCGGGTCGTTACACACATCCACTCATTGGGCTAATAGATGTCTATTATTGAGTTTAATTTCTGCACATGAGTAAAGAATTTTTATACTATCAAGTCATTTGAAAATAACTATAGGTACTTCACATAAATGATATTAGTATTCTGAAAAATGAGACAGGTAACCTACTACAAGATAAAATACACTAATAATAGGAGTATAAATTTTCTCTTATTTGGATTTAATAAAAAAGATGTTCTGTCAATGTAAAGAGTTAAATCTCTTTGTATTTGGTCTATACTTTCAGCTCCAATATTGTACAAGTCTAAGACAGACGGTTTGGTCTAAATATTGAAGTCGCCCTAATTGAAAATTTTATGAAACAATTAGTTTCCCCTCGCCCTGCACTATTTACCATGGACTTAATTTGCTAATCTAAAGAAACGAACATCTGATGTACTCTAGCAATTATACTTGGCACAATCATAACTATCAAAATGAGAACACCATGATGTCTAATAAACTTAAACTAGGTGATCGAGTAGTTATCATGTTTGTTAACCTGATCATTATCTTCAACACTTCTCCTCAATCTAGAGGGAGGTGAGTTCAATACACCTAGTTTGTCTTGAAAGAACTGAAACTGGTCCTTGCCAAGAGCTTTTGTATGAACATCTGCTAATTGATCCTTGGATCTAACAAACTGAGTGATCAATTTTCCTTGAGCTACTTTCTCTCTGACAAAGTGATAATCTAGTTCTACATGCTTAGTTCTAGCATGCATTACTGGATTTATAGTCATGTATAGAGCTCTCAAGTTATCACAGAATATAACAGGAGCAGTCTTGATATACATTCCAATGTCTTGTAGAATATAGTTTATCCAAGTAAGTTTAGCTGCAGTTGCTGCTAGTGCTCTATACTAAGCTTCAGCACTTGACCTTGCAACGGTGTTATGCTTCGTTGATGACCAGGAGACACAATTTGTACCAAGGTATATACTATATCTAGTCGTAAACCTCCTTGTTATGGCACATGCCCAGTCTGCATCTGAGAACTCATACAACATGAAGGAAGACTATGATATGATTCTCACTCCATGATCAATATTTTCTTTGACATACCTCAAAATATTCTCTTTACTGTCTGTGGATGCATGTTATTTGGATTCTGCATGAATTGACTTGCAAGATTAGCAGCATGTGTAATGTCAGGTCTTGTGAGTGTGTGGTACTGCAAGGTTCCCACAATGCTTCTATAAACTGAGGGATCAACTGCTTTACCAACTGCTTCTTGTAGACCATGTTTCTGAGTTAGTGGAGTATGCACTACTTTTACATTTTCCATATCCACTTCTCTATGTAGATCATTTGCATATTTTCTTTGATTCAAGTGGATTATTCCAAGAAAATAGTTTACTTCAACACCCAAGAAGTAACTGAAATCTCCAAGATCCTTCATAGCAAATTCATCTCCCATCTTTTGCACTACTTCCCCTATCTGTCATGAGTTGCTTCCAGTCAAAATTATATCATCTACATATATCAAAAATAAGATTGTTCCTTTTGTATCATGGAGATTAAGTAGGGAAGAATCAACTCTACTGCATTTGAAACCAAGATAAAGTAGAAATAGGCTAAACCTCTCAAACCAAGCTCTGGGAGCTTGTTTGAGGCCATAGAGTGTCTTCTTTAAGAAGCAAACATGGTCAGGATATATTGAAATAGTGAAGCTAGGTGGTTGAGTCATATAGACTTTTTCCTGTAGATGACCATGTAGGAAGGCATTCTTAGCATCTAGTTGCCTAACGGGCCAATGTAAAGTGACAACAATAGAAAGGATAACTCTTATAGTTATAGCTTTAACTACTGGACTGAAGGTTTCGTCAAAATAAACCCCTTCACGTTGTGAGTATCTTCTGACAATTAGCCTTGCTTTGTGTCAATACCAGAAAATGAGCTTATTGCAACAATTTTTTTATAACGGTTATAGAACCGTTTCTATAGAATAGATATAGCAACGATTATAACCATTCCAATAGAATTTGAATGATAACAGCACACTTTTGATATAAACCCGTTATCATTGAAATTAAACCGTTGCCATAACACTTTTTTAACCGAACGGTTTTCTAAACCGTCCCCATAGAAATATTTATGGGAACGGATTTTTGAGAAAACTGGTACCAGAACGGTTTTTTGTTGTCCTCATCAGATTCCCTCCTAAATTTTACTAAACCCGCCAAACAAAAATAATCCTCCTATTTTTTTTTTATTTAATTAGAAAAATAAAAATATAAAATTCTATAATTTATATTGTATATGCAGCCCGTCGATATCCTCAAAGTCCCAAACCCCAAAATCGCCTCTAACATCTCCTTAGCCCCAACTCCGACCAAAATTCTCCACCGTCTTTCAGCCATAAAACTTCTACCAAACCACCATGTAAAAGACCACCTTCTTCCTCTATTAAACCAGCATCGATTGCTTGAAGCAAACCCATCTCTCAATCTCTGTCAGAAAAAACGAAATTGTGCAGAAACCTTTTTGGCGATATCCGACTGCTCGAAGGATAAATTGCAGAAATTCTTTTGCATCTGAAACTCCAAGGAAAGAAAGAAACTAATATCATTCTAAGACTTAGGATTTGAGCGGGTAAAATGACATGTACTTTCTTTCTCTTAGGTTTTTTCGCCTACTTTGAATGTGCTCTTTTTAATTTTTGTCAAATAAGGGTACAAAGGGGCCATCACTATATTCTCTAAATCTCAAAGCCTGAGTTTTGCTATATTCAGTAAATCTCCTCCATTTTACTAATTTAGTTGCTTCTTTATTTCACTATTTCTTCCTAGTATTATTCCCTATTTGTTTTTCCCCTTTTTGGATTTGTGGTCCTCTTTTTAATTTCATCGATCTGTATTGGTTGTATGTGTAAATTTCATGGGGATTATTGTTTTGTCTAAGGAATACATGTAAATTTATTTAATTTTGGTGATTTTGGGTGCATTTTTTGGGGCATCTTTATTAGTTTTCTTTTGCGCCCCATTCTTTAATTTGTTGAATGGTTTATCACTTTATCTTTAAATTTATAAGTAGAGAAGGATTTTGTTTTTATGTATAGGGTTGGAAATGAGGTCATTTAGAGTTTGCGATTTGAAACTATGTAGCTTTTGAGTAGAATCTTGATTGCCATTGTTTGACATGTTAATGTGGATTATTTTGCATTCTTTTACTTTTTTTGTTGTGTTATTTCTATAGTTTTTGCTTGATATGATATATTTTTAAAATTTGGAACTGTTACAATTAATTGTTGGCGAATTTATATGTTCATATTAAATCGGGTGATATGCTATGATTCTTTAGCCGCTCAGTGATTCTGTTTGATCAATGTGCTGATTGCTGCATCCTTTATTTTAGCTCCATGTTAATCAATCTTATTTACTGTTACTCCGCTCTTTTGTTGTTGGAGTAGTTTCTCCTATATTTCCAAGGTTTATTCTTCATGCAATTTTTTGGAAGAAGCATGTATAGTCACTTTACTTTGTGTTTTAGTCAATTCTTTGTTTAATGAGGATATTGCTATGTTACTAGTTTTACAATACTGATTTGATAAATGTAAGCATCCTTATACCATCGATAGGCTAATATGTCATTTGAAGAAAACATTATAATAATTCAAAACTACATGGAAAAAAACAACAATTTGAGATTTTCTACATTTTTGCTGTCTTTTAGAATGTTTCTTGACTTCTGGTTCTATTACTGAATTTCCAAAAAAATCATGGAACTAGGGTCATGAATGTCTTCAATGTACTCAAGCTTGGACCTGTCTAGCAGTCTGCCGTTCATACATGATTATGCTTGCATTATTAAACCTGTAGTTACTTTTAATCTGATAATAAATAATAATTTTTTTTGGTTTAGTTGGAGTAAATTATGGTGAATTGCTATTTATTGGTTACTCTTGCATAACCAGTGCAACTCATACACTTTGCTCTCACATCCTCAATTCTTTGTTGTTAAACATGGGATTGGTTGCATATTTGTGCCTCTCAAGACTGTTAGTTTTGTGCAGCTCATGTCTTTGGTTGGTTCTGGGGACAGTTTGATGATATTCACATAGGGAACTCTAATCTTGGTTTCGCTCACAGTGAAGGATGGTAGTATGAAAAAACATTTGCACGTTGTTGGTTACGTTCAGGAACGCTTCTTAGCTTTTTATTCTTTTCCTTTATCGTGCTTGCTTTGTTTGTCCAAGACAAACTATAAAGACGTGTCCTTGTTTGGCTATAATTATTCTCCATTGACGCATGTCTAATTAAATTAGTATCTCTTGTTGTTCTTTCTCAACCATTTTGTTGCCTGAAATCCTTTTGATTAATATTGAAGATTTTGACAGAATTTTGAATATTTGATTTTGTCAAAATGAATGTCTTTCCTTCGTTGTCTCACTTGATTGTTTAACAAAGTTGAATGAATGAGAGTTCTGGGCTTTAAGTTCCAAGTGTAGTTGCTGATGTTAGCTTATGGTAACTTTGATTGTCTCTGCTTGGTTACAGTGAGACTGCATTTGTTTTAGGTGAAATATTTGATTACGAATCTAGGAGAGTTCAATTTTCCCTGTATTTTGTGGAATATGGACTGGTAGTTTGTCATGAAGCAGATATTACAAGTCATTTCACTGCCCAAAGCTATAAATATTTGCTTTTTGCATATAAATATTTACATGTTCCTTTACCGGCAATTCTAACTGTAATTACAAGGTCTTCTTTTGGTATTTCTACAACCAGGTACCTTAATCACTTATTGCCCCCAGCTCTCTCCCACCTCTAATCCCAATCAAAATTTTCCTTGCCCAAGTTACACATGAAGTTGAATATTTGCTATTATATTGCTGATGGTATTTCAGCTTATACGTGCTATTGATATCATGTTTCTATCTCTTGTGTCATTAGATTGCAAATATGTTTACGCAATTTCATCAGGTACATGATTACTTATCTCCGATTTACTCATGTACCTGATTAGATTTTTAGGATAATAACATGTTTGATTTTTCATTAGAAAGGAATATTTTAAAGTCTATCAATTCATTAGATGCCTTTGATTAATAATGTGCAAGACTATAAAAAAATAGAGTTCTTTGATTCCGTGCAACATGAATCCCTATGTTGGTTGATAATACTACATCAAATACTTCTTGACTCTCATGTGTATCTAATTTTGAACAGAGGAAAGCTGATCATGAATCAGGAAGGACGCTCAAGTAAAAATAAAAAATTAACAAAATGCATTGCAGCTGGATCACTTGCATTTTTGCGAAACCTAGAGGTTTCGTCATTAAAAACAAACAGAGTTATTATAGCTCCAAGGTTACTGCCTCTGCATTCTACTTCTACACCAGTACAAACAGTACATGAGCAAGTGCAACAAATGCCACTGAACTCTACACCTCTTGCATCACAAGCAGTGCATGAACAATTGCAGCATTCTACTTCTATAGGTGGATCACTACCTCTGCATTCTAGCAAAAACTTTTGCTAGAATATGCGATGTTTGATATATTTATCTTATTATTGTTTTAAATATGAACTTGCTAACTTTAATTTGAACTATTTTATACCACTTTTTATGTAACCAGAGAAAAAAGAAACAAACTTCTGAACCTCTATCAAGTAAGGACATCTTTGTGGCTACAAGAAAAAGAAAGTCTGGGCGAGTATACAAGGCCTCGTATACGGATACTCTTAATAAAATTGTACGAGTTACAAATTTAAAGTTTAATGATATTATTTGTTTGTTCTTAGTTAGTGACTCAATTTTATATACTTTCTAATTTAAAATTGACTCTATCTGGTCTTGTATGCTAAAATGGAAAGAATACAATCAATACAAGAAAGTGAAGATGGCAGTCAATCAGTTGACGCGTTTGCATCAATTATGGGACCTGAGCAACCAGGTCGCCTAAGACTGTAATGACGTGGGGGTTACCAAAACGGCCTTAAAAAGAAAAGTGGGAGATTTTGGACCATCTTCAAGTTCTACTGAGGAGATGATGCAGCAAAAATTGGAGGAAATGGAAGAAAGGATGCAACAAAGAATGCTGGAAATGTTCAAAGCACAAAAAGATGCTATGGAACTAGAAGTTGCAATTAACATCATTTCACAACTTAAGCGTCTGAATCCAGGAATACGTGTTGATCCTAACATGCTAGCTTTCAATGCTCGTTCACCTGGAAAAGCTTCCCTTCCTCTGCACAACAAGCTGCTATGTAACTAATCAATCGTCTATCTACTGGGATTAACAATCAAGGTCAGTACGTACTCCAAATGTTACACCCCTTTTTTTCTTTCTTCTTCTTCTTCTTGTTCTTCTTCTTCTTCTTCTGTTGCTTTTCTACCACTGCTCTCTCTAATAAGGCATAGTGACTGTTTGACGGGAAGTTGGTACAAAATAATCTAGTTAATCTCAAAGTATGCCTTCAACCAGTAACCCTAATTGTTGACTTAGACTTCAAATATAATTCCTGAATTAATCTCACTCACTATAAATTTAAGTTTAATGGAGCACCAGAAACTAATTGGATAAAATCTTCTATTTGTATGTACGAATTAACAACTTCCTCTAGAAGGGAAATGTAGCTGCTTTTCACGAATCTTAAATGTAGCAAAAAACTGTTCTCTCATCGTGCATCGAACTGTAATCTTAAGATTTTCCACCTTGCATGTACAAGTGCAGTCTTGGTTGGGGTAATACATGTGATGAATCAAGAAACTATCTCACCATTTTAGTTGTAATGGCATCTTATTTACTATCTTCTCTTCAAGAATCTTGGCAAGACAAATTATGTGCCTTAACTTGTATATTTGCCAAATCTTAAATTTCCTAGGAGATAATCCGGGTCTTCAACAAGAATTGCATGATTTCACATTCGGCATATATAGAGTATAGGAACATCTTCCCAATTAGGGCTCTAGGAGAATACCGATCTCATGTATTTAAAGCTGAAGTGAGTGGCAAATTCTAGATGATTTTGGCAGTGAATATAGATTTTCAAGTGCAAAAATTTCTGATGTCATAGGGGGTTTGTTATTTGATTCTGTCCCGACCCCAAATACCGATCGTGATGGCGCCTATCACATTACAAGGCAAGCCAAACCAACCAATTAATCACATCTCATTTTCATTTAATAAGCCATTTTCTAACACGGTTTAAATACCAAACTTTTATAATAAGCATTTAAATGAAACAAAATATATATGCGGAAGTCGAATAAACATGAAACTACACAGCCCCAAATATCTGGTGTCACGAGTCAAGAGCCTCTAATACATGACTGAATGTCTAATACATCATTATTCTAGAAAAATGCGGAAGAGCAAGATAGGGAGGAGAAAACAGGGCTGCGGATGCCATGCAGCTACCTTGCAATCTCCGTCAAACACTGGATCAGCTGAGGACCCTCACTCGGCCGCTCGGGCACCTGGATCTGCACACAAGGTGCAGGGAGTAACGTGAGTACGCCAACTCAGTAAGTAACTAAAGTAAATAAGGACTGAAAGCAATGACGAGCAGTTAAAAATCATATAACTGAATAAACAACAGGATAACAGATCAAACTCCAAAGTTTAAAGCCATCTTTCGTCATAAAATCATCAATTTCAGTTTAAACACTTGAAATCTCATACTTAGCAGTTTTTCCAACAGGGGCTTGTTTTAAAAGAAGAGTGAAATCATTGAAAATGTCATAACTGGCCCCCTCGGGCAAGGTATCACTCAGAATATGGCCTCTCGGGCAGCCTCTCAGTCACGCGTGACTCACTCTCGTCACTTAGTACTCACTCTCAGCACTCAGGCTCATTAATATCTCATAATAATAGAAATTATAACTGCTGCGGCGTGCAGCCCGATCATTAATTTATAGTCGACTACGCTCACTGGGTGTGCAGACTTCGAAGGGGCTCCTACAGCCCAAGCGTCATATCGCTGCGGCGCGTAGCCCGATCCAATATATATATATATCACTGCGGCGTGCAGCCCGATCCAATATATAAGTATCGCTGCGGCGTGCAGCCTGACCCAATATTTCATACATATATAAATATCCTCACCGCTAAGTTCTCAACCTCTCTCAGTCATTAACCTCACAGCCTCTCGGGCATAATAGTGGAAATTGGGGAACTCAGTCCAAACAGTTCTCACATTTAGAAGTGGAGTGATAAAACCAGTTTTAAACACTTAAACAGGTAAAGCATGATTGAAGATATGCTTTTAGCAAGTAAAGTGAGGAAAAATAGTCAAAATGCTCCTACGGGTCTCTACAGGTCGGCACAAGGCCCCAAACATGGCATACAGCCCATAATACAGTATAAATGACTAAAATACGGACTAACACAAGATTTCCAAATCAAATAAACAGCTTTGTAGTCGCTACGGGATGGACCAAGTCACAATCCCTACCGGTGTACGCCCACACGCTCGTCACCTAGCATGTGTGTCATCGCATTTATCAAAACAAGTCAAATACCGGGGTTTTGTACCCTCAGTTCCAGATTTACAATGGTTACTTACCTCAAACCGGTGAAAATACTATCCCGCGACGCCCTTGCCTCTCGAATCGGCCTCCAATCGCGTCGTATCTATCCAAAATCAGAATCACGGCGTCAAAATATGCTAAGGGAGCGAAGCCCAAGCGAAAACAATCAAATAATACCAAAAATCCCGAAATTGGCCAAAATCGACCCTGGGCCCACGTCCCGAAACTCGATAAAAATCACATAAACGGAATCCTTATTCTCCCACGTGTCTATACATACCAAGAACATTGAAATCGGAGTCCAAATGACCCCTCAAATTCTCATTTAAAGTCTCGTAATCTCAAGTCCTAATTCCTCAATATTAGGCTTAGATTCCATGATTTATTAGGTAGATTTCATAATAGAATCGAGTTTTAAGTCCAAAATACTTACCTCCAAATGATTCCCCTTGAATCCCTCTTCAATATCCTTCAAAAAGCTCCAAAAACGACAAACAATGGAAGAAATAAGCCTCAAATTCGCGGACTAGACGACCTTTTAAACTTTCTGCCCAGGCCTAAATTCCTTCATTGCGATCGCGGGACATCCTTCGTGATTGCGAAGCACAAACTCACAACTCCCAAAATTAACATTATGCGAACGCGTAAAGTCCCACGCGAACGTGATGTTCAGGCATCTAACACTACGCGATCGCGGACTGGCTACCGCGTTCGCAAAGAACAAACTCCAGCCAAAACCCCTGGTCCACTTAAGTCTACGCGAACGCGACCCACTCCACGCGTTCGCGATCAACAATGCCTTCACCTTACGCGATCCCATCCCCAACTTCGCGAATGCATTGAGCAAACCGGACTGCCCCCACAATAGCTCTACGCGATCGCGAGACCCCTTACGCGATCGCGAAGAGTAAAAACTCTGCAACAGTTGAAACAAAAATCTGCAATTTTCTTCAACTTAAAATGATCCGTTCAACCCTCCGAAACTCACCCGAGGTCCCCGGGACCTCAACCAAAGGCACCAACATAACTCAAATCCTTAAACAAACTTGTACCAATCTTCAAAACACCTCAAACAACATCAAATCAACCAAAACACATCAGATTTAAGCCTAAGTTTCCAAAATCTTCCGAATTCGCTTTTGATCAAAAACCCAACCAAACAACGTCCGAGTGACTTGAAATGTTGCACACACATCCCAAATGACACAACGGAACTACTGTAACTCTCGGAAAACCATTCCGACCCCTATATCAAATTCTCACCTACTAACTGGAAATCGCCAAAAATCCACTTTCGCCAATTCAAGCCTAAATCTACTCCGGACCTCCAAAACTCATTCCGATCACTCTCCTAAGTTCCAAATCACCTCCCGAAGCTAACCGAACCATAGGAACTCACATCTGAGCCCTCTAACACATAAGTCAACATCCGGTTGACTTTTCCAACTTAACCTTCCTCAAAAGAGACTAAGTGTCTCAAACCTTACCAAATCCTTTCCGAACCCTAACCAATCAACCCGATTACATATAGGACCATTGTTCTAAACAATAAGAAGCAGAAATGGGGGAAACGGAGTGGTAACTCATTAGACGGCTGGACGGGTCGTCATATCCTCCCCAACATAAACAAACGTTCGTCCTCGAACGAGTCAAGAAACATACCTGAAGCCTCAAAAAGGTGAGGATATCTGCTCCGCATCTTCCGCTTGGTCTCCCGGGTAGCCTCCTCCACGGGCCGACCTCTCCACTGCACTTTCACTGAAGCTATATCCTTTGACCTCAAATTTCAAACCTGACGACCCAACATAGCTACTTGCTCCACATCATAAGTCAAATCATCATCCAACTGAACTGAGCTGAAATCCAGAACATGAGACGGATCCCCAATATACTTCCGGAGCATAGAAACATGAAATACCAGATGCACACTCGACAAGATGGGTGGCAAAGCAAGCTCATAAGCCACCTCCCCAATCCTCCGAAGCACCTCAAAAGGCCCAATGAACCGAGGACTCAATTTCCCTTTCTTTCCAAATCTCATAACACCCTTCATGGGTGAAACCTTCAACAGAACCTTCTCGCCAACCATGTAGGACACATCCCGAACCTTCCTATTAGCATAGCCCTTCTTCCTCGACTGCGTTGTGCGAAGCCTCTCCTGAATCACATTCACCTTTTCTAAAGCATCCTGCACCAAGTCTGTCCCCAATAGCCTAGCCTCACTGGGCTCGAACTAACCAACAGGAGATCTACACCGCCTCCCATACAAAACCACATACGGAGCCATCTGAATACTCGACTGGTAGCTATTGTTATAAGCAAACTCTGCAAGCGGTAGAAACTGATCCCATGACCCTCCGAAATCAATGACACAAGCACGCAACATGTCCTCCAATATCTGAATAGTGCGCTCGGACTGCCCGTCCGTCTGTGGGTGAAAAGCTGTGCTCAACTCAACCTGAGTACCCAACTCTCGCTGCACAGACCTCCAAAACTGTGTAGTAAACTGAGTGCCCCTATCTGAAAGGATGGAAACTGAGTCACCATGCAAACGGAAAATCTCACGGATATAGATCTCTGCCAACCGCTCTGAAAAATAGGTAGTACACACAGGAATGAAGTGCGCGAACTTGGTCAGCCAATCCATAATCACCCAAATAGCATCGAACTTTCTAAAGTCTGTGGAAGTCCAACAACAAATTCCATAGTGATCCTCTCCCACTTCCACTCGGGAACATCCATCTGCTGAAGCAAGCCACCCGGTCTCTGATGTTC